AACCAGAACAGGAGAAGGTTCACTTTCCAAGCTGCCCCCACTTATTGATTTTTCACCCTGCAAATATTCATCGGCATATCAGAATCTACAAAAGTAGACACATCAAATGAACTTGACAGAGGTGTACTGTTCAGAATTGGGACAGGGCGTTCAATAATCTTTACGGATTTAGACGAACTAGTACCCCTACTGGGCTCCTCAACTTGTAATATTCCTCTTTTTCTTGCCTTTCTTTCAAAAGATTTGATATCCCTCTTAAATTTTTCATGATTTGATTATGGTTGTCTAATAAAAGCTCTTGTTTCCTTCAAGCCTTATAATGTCACTTTTGGTGGCAAATGATGGCTGTGAATCGATCACAGTCACAACATCAGAGCTCCCTTCCCAGTCGTCAAAGTTAAAGTCATTTTCATATGCTGCTACATTTGGACTTAAATCTAGCTCACTGGATACGGATGGTGCAATCCTTGCCAATTCATCTTGGTGTGTACTGTTTGAGCCAGGTGGCTCACTTCCAGGGCTAAAGGTCTTGCACTGTTTGTCTTCTGCCTGCACATTTTCGTTTGGTTTCTTGCTCATCAAAACCTTTGGAGACAATCATACAATTGCAGTTTTTGAAGTAAACCCCATACATGTCAATTACTCTGGTCTCAGAGGTCTTTCTTGATGTTTCTCCACATCAAAGAGAATGAGCCATGAAGCGGCAAGTGAGATGCTTTTCTCATCCCTCATTGCCTCAAGCAGAGAACAATCATCAATAAAAATCTCTGGGACCAGGGGATTTGTTAATCCAGTCGACTGGTTTCGTGTACATGCACAGCGTGCAGTCTGTAACGATACACTCAAGAAGAAGTCCAAATCGAAAGTTGACCTTAAGAATATTAAAAAATCTTCAAAAATGTAAGTATAAGTACGTGTGATTGTTAATTATTGTCATAGGTATAATTGTAATTTAGACTAACTTTTACGGCTTAAATTTTCTCCCCGAAACATAAAAATGACAAATGGTTTTAAGTAATTGCAGGCAAATTGCTTCGAGAATTGAATAAAGCATTTCAGGATTGCTTCACTTTTCTTTATCGATATATGATAGTTTGGTTGAGTAGTGTTTTTTCGATTTGTGAACTTTTTTTTTGGTACTGAAAAGACAGGACTGCCGGTCATTTAATATTTTGAAAACCTTGACCTGTCACTGGCCAGATAGCCACAGCGAATTATAAAACTATAAGCAATATAGTGATGTTCACACTTAGTGTCCACTTGAAACCACATTTTCCATATTTTCTTTTGCCCTGTACTTCTTGAACTGAAGTCGAAATTAGACAAACAATTTTGAGTGTAATAGTTGGGTCTGACCAATGTATAAGTCAGCGGGTCATGGGAGTCCACTGTGAGTCATGCGAGCTATAAAGAGGCAAGTATGTGAGCATGAAGAAATGTATTTAACAACTGCATGTAAATTACTTGACCATAATAAATACTTCTTTCCATGCTAATATAAATACTTGACCATTTTCACACAAAACAAGCTATGCTTGTGACACTTTTATCCTTATTGCTTGGAACTGAAAGGCGCACATAACACTACGCCAAGTGACATGTTTTCTAAACATCTCTCTTCAAGATGCTTTTATTTTCTTTTTAGACAATTTTTGTTCAGCAGTCTTACTGTTTACCAAAAATTCAAGTACAATGAAAGGACTCGCTAGCTCACTTATTCGTACAACTGAGAGTTGACGTCTCCTAGCGAGCATGAATCACGTGCCTTTGCGCAGTAGCCAGACCGGATTTCAATTAACATCTAATTTTAATTTCAAGTAAATTTCTATGTTCACATTGTAAAATGTCGTAAGGCTACTAAATTTTGTTGCTCTTGAATGCTTAACGTTTAAAGTGCAAGAACCTGTAGGACTGAATATCATGTTTGGCTTAGAGATATAATGCTTCAGCATCGCCTAACCAAATAAAACAGCAGATGTTCAGAGACACATTAGGGATAAATGGATATAAGGCTTACCTTTTTCTTGTTGGCTCCTTCTTTGATAATTTCCCGGTCTTCTTCGGACGTCTCATCATCAGAAGGAAAGCGATGCTTGTTCTTCGGATCTTGCAGGAAATTGATCAACAAGCGATCTAAATTGCTGTTTTCATCTGTAAACATTCAGTATACAGGGAAATGAATGAGCTGGTCAAAAAGGCAAACAGGCTATTTAGCAACAGGTTACGGCGGGAAGTTTTGAAATCCAGTGCTACATGTACATGAAAATGGAATAAAACAGTTTTGAAATACTGATGCTTTGGGAGCTCACTGGAAAATCAAGAAAGCACTGGATACCACTAAAAGAAGTGACAATCCTTGCCAGTCAAGAGGGCTAAAATGAAAGATACAACTTACCATCGACAGCGATGATCTCTGCTGTTAGGACATCCTTACCAAAGTATACTTCAATGATACTTCCTTTGGAGGTATTATCACCCTGAACTACCTTCTTCACCTTGTTTGAAGGCAAAATACTTCATGTCTTATCAGTTTCAAAGTAAAAAAAGTTCATAGCAGGGAACTTTAAGACAAGATCTAAAACTAGACATCCTGTCTGAAGATTCAGTTCAATGACTATACTTTGCAACTTCCATTTTTTTTTTTAACTATGTTTCAAAATCAAAAAGCTACTTTTAGGTAAAGCGTGTGTGTTAGGTAGGCTTTATTGTGCTTCCGATCTTCAATAACCAAAAATAAAGTGGTATCTGGTCAACTCGTAATTCTTTTTTTTCGCAATTCTTTTTGGATACACACTACGCAGGGAATTACTTTGTTTTTCTGAGAGACAGTATTCACTACTAAACCACCCACAAAATCGACGATTCTTCCTAATTTTCTCAATGGAATTAATTGTGGAAATAAAATTATGAACAGTAACACATGCTGGACACGAATGGTTTATTATCAATACGTGACAGAAAACCACTTCATGAAAAGCCCATTTACCAGGGAAAACCGGAAGGCTATTAGTGTGATCTGCTAGACGTGAAAACAACTTCCAGTTTTCCTCTTTCTGGTAACATGGCAGGTAAGCCAAGCCAAAGCAAGCCAAGGCAAGAGAGTTCGAAAATGCTCTGGAGTCGTTAAAGAGGGCATTTTGTTTATATGCCGAATGCAAAGACTTGTCAGATCCCTACGATGACCATCCACAACCACGTAGGAACGAGCTGTGATGAACATACAAACGTAAGTTTTATACTCAGGCTTGAATGTCAAAAGAGAGTTGCTAGTCAACCAAAGCCATGGTTAGTACACCTTCAGAGAAACAAATTTCAAGGACTTTTTTAGGAGTTTTCACGGACTAAGATTTCTTCACAAATTAAAAATCGGCATTTTTAACCCCCTTTTGAACACCTCATGGATGGCTAAAACATTTATCATTTTTACCTCCTCAGCCACAGTTGATCACGTTATTTTTTTACGACCCGCAACAACACTTTGCAAAATGACTTGCAACTACATCTGAGGTACAAAAGTAGCATTTGAAATAAAGAAACAAAAATAAATATTGTTCACACAAAATTGTTTTTACGTTACCCCTGAGTCTTACAGGTTCTTACACTAAGATGAACCAAATTGTCCCCCTTTCCCCAGCAGAAAGACCTTTTCAAGATTGTAAGAACCATGAAAGTGCAACAATAGTAATACAGATACCATCGATTTGTTCGTTATCAGCAGCTAGGCACATACCTCAACTAAAAAAATGAAAACACTTCATTGTAAATAAGTGTAACACATTTTAGCTTCCTTAGCATCCAATTGCAATAACTTAATGCAAGTACTTTGTAATAAAGAACGCTAACTTTATTGGGCCTCTTATGTTTGCTATAGGATAATACAACTTAACATTTGAGGAAACTATTCATTATACAGAGTTTCGAATTTAGCTGTTCATAATAATCCCATGCACTATTTTCCTAAACAGTTATCAAGATTGGTGTTAATGCCTTGAAAGAACTGATTGAGGTGGATCAAGTGTTCAGAGTGTGTGATGATGAGAGTGATGAACATTAAGAAAAGTGTCCCTCGTGCCCCAAGGCTATCTAAATACTAGGGCCAATGCAAGTGAACCACTGAAAAAACCAATGTAATAACCGTTAACTGTGTTTTCTGCATTATTTTCACAGACATTAATTTTGTGACCCTTCAAATGATGGAAACACTGATGTGCACATGGGAAATAATCCATCTGGGAATATAAAGTTTCATTTTGTAACAAAGTGCTTTTGGAAATTGCCAAAGTGAACAAAATAAAAAGTAGGCTGAATGGAACAATCGTATTTTTAATGACAGGATCTTGTGCAATTGCAGGACAAAAACAATCGTTTTTGAAAGGCACGGGAAAGTGGCAGATGGCAAACGAAAACAACCTGGGTGACTCATGAAAATAAATGTCACCTTTCAGTAACGAAAGCAGAAGAAAGCAAGTGAAATTAATTGAATGAATGGGTTATTTCATTTTTTAAGCTTGTGGAAAAAGTAGTACTAAAAACTATACTGTGGCAAAGGTACTAACAGGAATTCTGACTACACATGATAATTGTCTTTGAGCATTTGTTGGACGGCAAAGTCATGAAACATCAAGTGATCCGTAATTCGAAAGACACGATATAAACATCAACTCTACATTCAATGGACGCTATTAAAACAAAGAGGGTGAAACACCCATACTATCATCACCTTTATTTCTCCGGAAAGCTGCTCGATTCACAAGAATACTGTTCTTGATGGCTCATTTATTCACATGAATAGTCATGCCAAAGCAGTGCTCAGTTGTTTTTAAAGGCATCTTTTTGCGACCTAACAAATGATACTACTGTTTGTATTAATACTGGGACAGCCAGGATAAAAAGGGGGAATTGAAAAGAAAAATGGGGCATAAACAATATTTCATGCAAATGATTCTGTCATTCAATCAATCAATCAATCACGATATCACTAACCAACTAACCAAACTAAC